ACAGGACCAGACAGCTTATTTTTTAGCTACTCTATTGTACTTGACTATATAGTTCAGAAGTTTTTTTCCAGCAGTCTGCTACACCTTGCAGAAGGGTAGCAGCCTGGAGGATAGTCTCTGTCAATAAACCTTTGCTTGAACTCAGAGATGTGTCTAGATGTGTCTAGTCACAAAAAGCACATTAGTGTAGTGGTCAGAGCACAGGTCTGGAGCCAGACTACCTGGGATTTGAATCCCATCTCTGCAGTTTACCAGCTGGGACAAGTTGTCCATCCTTTTCTGACAGTCTCTTCATCTAATAATGCCTTCTCAACCTCAAGGCCATCATGAGGTTTAGTGAGTTAATGGATGGCAAGTGTGAGAGCAGTATCTTTCAAGTACTAAGTTTTTAATACCGTTCAACGATCAGTTTTCATTGGAATATCACTCAAAGTACATCATTTTGTAGAAGTATAATTATTAGGTCAGAAGTCACCCTCTCAGGATGGCCACTGTTTAAAAAAAATTAATATTTTAAGATTGTATGTAGAGAACCCATGTGCACTGCTGTTGAGATTGTAAAATGGTGCAGCTGCTGTGCAAAATGGTATGAGTTTCATGAAAAACTTAAAAATAGCATCACTAATCCCATTAATGGGTATATGTCCTCAAGAGCTGAAAGCAGAATCTCAAAGAGATGTTAGTACACTCAATGTTTATTGCAGCATTATTCACAAAAGCCAAGAGGAAGCAAGCCAACAGACCACTGGCAGATGAATGGATAAAGAAAATGTAATACAGACACACGATGGAATATTATTCAGCCTTTAAACAGATGGAAATCCCATCACAGGTTACTACATGGATGAAGCTTAAGGACAAAATGTTAAGTGAAATAGGCAAGTTACAAAAAGATAAATACTCTGTGATTTCACTTAATGTGGGACATCTGGGGTGCATACCATCATGGAAACAGAAAGCACCTGGTTGCTGGTTGACCAGCCTGCTTGCATTTTAAACTCAACCTATGTCCTCTCTGGTGTCCAGGGAAAAACCCAGCCTGGCACAGTCCCTAGTTCTTCAGGTGGAAGTCACCACCACAATAGGAATAACTGGAAAGAGGGCAATGAGGAGCTTTTCATTGAGTAGAGTTTTGGATCTGCAAAATGCAAAGGTTCTAGAGATGTTAGACCACCTTGTGAATATGGTTAATATCACTGAACTGTACACTTAAAAATGATTAGAAAGGAGATTTTATAATGGATGTTTTTTTACAATTAAATTTTTTTTTAAAAAAGTTAAAAACTCTCAGGGCTTGGCACAGGGCATGTGCCAAAAACTGTCAAATGAATAAAATGAATAAAAGCCTGATAACATAGTTTTACAATCAGATATAAGGATTATCCTCTGACAACAACTAAATGTTTTATAATTACTCCTAGTAGTAAGAGTCCGGCATTAATCATACCAAAGTGAAAATCACTGGAGGGAAAGGGGCACAGGTATTTTGTAAAGTTCAGATGAAAAATATGGAACAACCCTTTTACAGTCATTTGTTCAGTTACATGCATTTTTGTAGCTACTCAATTTGAAAGTCTCAAATCAGCAGAGCTCCTTGAAAAAGTTAAGTGGATACAAGACACCATCTTCTCTCAAATTTTTCTTGGTTAAATTGCCTTGGTAGGGATCTAGTAGATAAAGATCTGTATTGTTTATACTCTGGCATGGTAAATTTAGAGTCATTTTGGTTCAGATTCCAAAATAACATTTGAGAAGATGCTTGGTCTTTTCTGTCCGTGACCATATCCTTGGGCTTATATCCAGTGAAAATCTAAAATCCAAACAGCTGCAACTCAAATATCTAATCAGGAGGGTCATGTTAGATAATTATTGATCTCAAGAGGTTAAGAGATGGCTGTAGTGAATTCTTATAATTTTATATTGCGTCAGCATCAACTTCGAACACAAATTTAACTTTCTCTACCTGAAATTGGGCTCAGTCTCCCTTAATGCAGTTTTCAGTTCTACACCACACCCAAATGGCTCAAGTCAGCAACCAGAGAGAAAAATTTAGAGGCATCTCCCCACTAGCAGACTGGTGCTTTCATTAAATAGAACATTCCGGCATTTCATGAAAACTTAAATTGACCTATGCAATACAGGAAAGAGGTTTTCCCTGATTCATTATGCCCTCTTTACCAGGATCTCCAAGGCAAAAATCTTTGAATGTGTTTCCTATTGTGGTGGTGACTTCTACCTGAAGAACCAGGGACTGTGCCAGGCTGGATTTTCCCTGGACACCAGAGAGAACGTAAGATTGAGCTTCAAATGCAAGCAGGATGGTCAAGCAGGCAGAGCTGGACACAGGTCAGTTAAGAGCCACAAGGGCATCTGGTGGATGAACAGGTTCTCCTGTGACAGAACACCTGGTGTCTGGTTTGAGAACTAAGTATTAGGCTACCCAGCAGGTTAAAGTATATCCTGTGCATGGCACACTGGAAACACCCATATCCAGCCCCCTGTTTCCCATCAGTGTAGGATTACTAGCTACTCTAGCATTGCAAACCCCAATTTAGCTGGGGCTCTGAAAACAAAGAAATTGAATGAAAATAAATTGTAGTTAGGATGACAAAGCTGGAGTCACCTTATGCTATCCAAAACAGTAGCCAATAGCCACCTATGACATCTAAATTTAAAATATGTAGAAAATTCAGTTCCTCAAACCCACATTATGTTTTAAGTACTCAACATCCACATAAGTGAGGGGCTACCATATTGAATGCCAGAGTTACAGGACATTGCCCACCATCACTTCTATTAGATAGTGCTGAAGACTGCATGCAGTGAATGGCATGTGCACCAAATAGGAATACTTGACATTTACTGTCACTGGTTTAAAGACTTTATCCCCTTCTCACATTGCCCTTGATTTTTCATCACATAAAAAATAAAAAGTTTCTTCATGTTCTATTAAAATTTAAAGATGTGCTATTTTGTTTCACCTGTAAGGATGCCTGCAATGAAAAGAGAAAAAAAGTCCTTGCTCTCTAAAGAATTAATTTATTTGCTTTAATCAGGTAAGAGATATATCTTTATTTCCTTCTTTGCTACAGCTACTCAGAAATAACTCAATGCTTAATCTCTGTAACTATTATTAACTAAGGTTTTGAATAAATGTACTTTTATCCCCTCTCCCATACAATGTCTGACAGTCTACCTTAATATATTCTAAATATTTTATATTAAGGAAACATAATTCCTTTGGGCGATATGTAGAACATAATAAGTTGTATATGAATAGAACTCTACTGCCCTCTTTGTTTCATGAATGAAAGTTTCAAGCAAGTCATTATGACCCAAAGTTTTTTCCAATGGTAAATGAAAGGGGAAAAAAATCTCTAACACTTATTACATCAACAGATAGTATACATCAACACCAAAAACCACTTATCTTTTCTTTACAAATTACACAGAAGCAGAAATAAATTTTAACTATTATTATTTACAATACAGGAAGCAAGTATTTTAAGAAATGCTGTTTTTATTGTTCCAATTCTACTCTTTTGTATAAAATGAATATCTACATGTTTGAGGATTAGTTCACTCTATCAACTCAGACTCTATTGATCAAGTGCCAGGTGTAGAAATGATTTGGCATTTCTATAAATAACCCATTTTTCTTATATGTAAAAGAATCATAAGCCAGAAGGCATAATTGTTTAAAAAAAAACTAGTATAAGAATTGCTGATTAAATGCATCTCCTATTGTACTGAACTCACATAATCAGTTTATAGTTTTTCCTTTGTTTAGAGGGAATTATTCACCTCAATCTGTCAGTTTGAATTATTGAAAATTAAATTTAAACTTTTTTTAAATGTAGAAAAGTTCAATTAAACAGTAAATTTCCAATCCTTGAAAAATGTCATCTATAAACTAATTTTTCTCAAGACGTAAGAAAGATGAACAAAAAGTATAGCTATGATTAATGTAGATTCAATTTTAAAGTCAAAGTTATAGAGGTCAACATTTGCCCATTTATTTCAAGAAATGCTTACCATAAGCAGAACACTAGTGCCCTCTTTTGTATGAAGAATGTAATGCAACCCAAGTGCAAAATAGGGTAACTCCCAGAAGTAGAGCAATGGCTTAAGTAGGTTGTTTTCTAACCAGCCCTCAACTACTAAGGCAGAGGACACTTACCTGAGTAACTCTATCCAGTTTTTTTTTTTTTTTTGGCTCAACCCCCGCCCCCTCCTTTTTTATGAATAAAGCTTATTTATTCTGAATTAATTTTTTTAAATTATTGCAGAAAATAAAGCAATCTAAGTCATAAATGCAGGATTTAAAAAAAATGATAGACATGTTTTAGGAAGTTTAAGAAGTAAAAGCTTGGGAGTTCCCAATTTTAACAAATAGAAACTAATAGAGAATTGGCATTAGGCTGGGTCCCAATTTTAATGCTGGTGGCACATACAATCCATCCTGCTTTCAAATACTAAGTGTTTAAAACCAGCAAAAGTCAAAAAAGTTAGGATTTTGTTGTCAGCCCTACAGCCAGTGACTGAAGCAGTCTTTTGCTAAGATACCTACATACAAATTAACAGGTCCTCTTTTTTTCTCATTAGACTGTACCCAAGCTTTCTCTGCATGACAAATATGTCATTCTAAAGATTTACTCTTATAGAAGAGGTAAAAACAAAAACAAAAACAAAAAACTTTAGCCTTTGTTTTTGATTGGAACACTTCCTCTCCTCTCTACCCCAAAAATGAACCTAGAAAGTAGAGGCATAAAGAGGTTCCACTTCTGCTGTAGAAACATAAGACAATCAGGTAGTTAGTACCCCCAGTCATAACCACCCCCCACCTCAAATGAAGCCACGCTGTTTAAATCTTCCAAGCAACCTCTATCAATATTTATGCAGAGCAGCTTACATTTTATAAAGATGGATATCTTCTCTTAGCACCAACCTGTAATATTATGATTGCTGAATATTTAATGGAATAAGAAGTCATAAACTGCTTTTTATGACAATAAAATCAATCTTTATTTGGAAAGCCAGATAATATTAACTTTTTTCAAAATTTTAATATGCATATTTTTAAATGGAAAACACATTTCTCATTAATTTAACCAATTAAGCCAAAAGAAAAAAGTGTAATACTGTGATTGCAAGTTACCAATCAAATAAACACTTTTTGCATATATACAGAAAAACATTTTCCGAAAGTTTTATAAGATTTGAAGGGCACTTCTGTACCTCACCCTCACAGCCTTCAAGGAGGAGGAAAAGCCACCATGCTCCCACATTACTCAACAAAGACAACACATTCAAGCTGCACAGACACATTTATCAATGGCCTTAGAATACAGGTTAGGTTTCCTGGTGGTAGATTTACCTTCCTAACCACATTATGATCCATGCATATAAACAAGTGCAGATTCACTATGACAATCATAAATTCACTATGACTCTAGTCATAATGGGAAGGAGCAAAGTCAGCTCAAGACTCTTCATATGCTATACAATTCACAGTACAACACTAGATAAAGGGGAAGAATCTTGAAAGATCACAATAAGGTTCCCCCAAAAGCTAGAATAAACTGGAACAAACTGAAAAAATGGCCCTAATTTGGAAGCCAATATTCAGACCAATGTGAGGGAAGAGGATAGAAACAGAAGCAGAAACAGAATGGCAGAATTGCTCCAAATATTTGGCACATATCCATACAAATAATTCTCCTGAAAAAAATTTTTGAGGTAGACAAATATTAGAAATGTACTTAGTTTATGCTAAAAATAGAAAAGAAAAATAGGAAAAATTGAGGATAGGCCCTATTTCCATCATTAACTTAAAAAAATTTCTACTTATTTATAAAAACTCCTCTTAGTAAAGTGCTTATGAAATGTAATTTTACTCCTAAATTTAAAGATGTCATTAAGCATCTTTTAGCTAAAGAACAAAAAACAACTTGGGTTTCTAAACATGTTTTCCCCTCCACATCCCCTGCTAAGATCCTTCTGAGTTTTGAAGTTCAAGCTCAAGCTGACTTCCCCTCCAGTTTCCATGAATCCAATCAGAGTACCACGCTCCTACTAAAGTCCCACACTTGTGCGTTGCTGTCCGTGCCATGACTGTCCACTTGTCTCCCCACTGCATCCTGAGCTACTCAAAAGGCAGACAATCCTGCTGCCTCATTTTTGAATCTCCAGGTCCTGGCACTCTGCAGGTACTCAAAATTACTCAAAAGCCCTTTCTATTCACAATTTCTCAAGGGGTCACTTTATATAAGTTGAATGAATACAGTTCTTCATGTGATATTCAATAAATTATCCTATGAACTCATCGGATTCCCACTTTTTGAAAACCAAGGAAGTTAATCTGCCAGAACAAATAACTAGGTTACAATCTTAGTTCCTCTTTCTGACACTATTTTTTTTAGTTATATTTCTTTCATTAAAATGTCCTTATGCACTTAATAAGTAAAATTAAATCCCAAGAATATCAACAAAACATGATTCTTAATGGCATAAAATAAAAAAATCAATACTTCTGATCAAATTTATCAGGTAAAAATAAACAAAATGTTTGTGCTTGGATAGCAATGGTAAACCTTTAATGAATCTATGAACCTGAACTGCCATGCCCTCAAGTATTGCCAGGAATAAAATTCTATAAACCGAATGAAAGAAGATAGCTATTCAGAGGGACAAATTTTTGAACTTGTTTTGCCCCAATTTCTGCTACATAGATTGCTCCAGTCTTTCTGTCGACTTCTAAGAGATGCGGCAAAACTTGATCTGGTAGTTGGATTGTGCTGATCACAGAGCAGTCACCAATGCTTCCCACCGGGGGTGCTGCCAGAAAGGACAGCCTGCTGAGATTCAGCTGGGCCACAATCAAGTACTTCCCATCTGGAGTAAATCTAAGGAGGAAGACATTTTACATAAATTTATACAGAAGAAAGATAAATGCTTACTTTTGTAAATATTTTTATTCCCCTACAATACTGAACAATAGGTAGCTACTCCCAGAAATATTCTTTTAAGAAGAATTTTAATTTGGTCTAATTCTGTTGAGGGGAAAAACATCTAAAATAGTACTTGTGGCCCAAAATTAGCTTGAATTAAGAAAAATGATAGCCGCAAACAAATAGAAACTAATAGAGAATTGGCATTAGGCTGGGTCCAATACTATAGACTCAAATTTTGATTTTCCTTCTTTGCTTAGAAATTTGCCAAAGGCTCACACTCTTATATTGCTGGGGACTGCAAACTGGTACAACCAATCTGGAAAGCAGTATGGAGATTCCTTAGAAAACCACCATTTGACCCAGCTATCCCACTCCTCAGTCTCTATCCAAAGGTCTTAAAAACAACATACTATAGTGATGCAGCCACATCAATGTTTATAGCAGCCCAATTCACAATAGCTAAACTGTGGAACCAACTTAGATGCCCTTCAATAGATAAATGGGTAAAGAAACTGTGGTATATATACACAACAGAATATTACTCAGCATTAAGAGAGAATAAAATCATGTTATTTCCAAGTAAATGGATGGAGTTGGAGATTATCATGCTAAGTGAAGTAAGCCAATCCCCCCCAAACCAAAGGCCAAATGTTTTCTCTGAGAAGTGGATGCTGATTCATAAAGTGGGGGGGGGAGATGGGATGATGGAGAAACTTTGAATACGGCAAAGGAGAGGGTGAGGAAGGGAGGGGGAATGGGGGTAGGAAAGATGGTGGAATGAGATGGACATCATTACCCTAGGTACATAGATGATGACAAGAATGGTGTGGCTCTACTTTGTGTACAACCAGAGACATGAAAAATTGTGTTCCATTTGTGTACTATGAATCAAAATTTTGCTTCCATATATAACTAATTAGAACAAATAAATTAAAAAAAAAAGAAATTTGCCAAAGGTTGTAGGACATGTCTAACACATATTTATTATCTTTGATACTGAAATTCCACAGAGCACTGGAAATTTAACTTTTCACTTTATCTGGGATTTAAAAATCCCAGACATCAAATATTTCTGTATCTTTTCTGTCCATTTTCCTCTGCTTAAAGTTAACAATAAATATTATAAACTTTAGCTAGCTTCAGGAAAATTAATCATATAAATCAGTTAAAACAAGCATTTTAAAATAAAAAGAAATAATTACCTAACTGAAGAAGGTCCCTCTTCTGTAAAACAATTATTCCATTCTCCTAACCACTCTCCAGTTTCCTTATCAAATACTTGGATTCTTTTATTTCCTCGGTCAGCAACCCATACCTGAAAAACCAGAAACACTTGAAATGTAAAAAAGATCCACGATACAATAAAAAAGAATAATAAATGTTTATTTTCATCCATTTCCAATACATTATCTCTTGGTACTTACAGTTACTAAGGAGTATCAACCCCATTTTCAGATAAGGAAAGAAAGGTTAAAATCATTGTCTATAAAGCTCTTACAAGCAAGAAAGCCACAGTCTATGGCCAAGTGTCTTAATCCACAGGCTGTAATGGTCTGTCTAGTTAACCAAACATGAAAATAACTAAAAACTGAACACAATGCTGAGGATTGATATACTGAAAAAATAACATTCATTCAATCCTTGAACAAGCATCTACCTTCACTGAGCACTGCTGGTCTGCCAGTACCTAGACACAAGCAAGTAAAAGCAGCCTTGCCCCTCAGCAGTTCAGTATAGTGGGGAATGAGGCATTTACTCATTCATATTGCAATATCATTAAAACTGCTGTTATTACTAAGGTTTGTCCAAAGTGAACTATTTAAAGGAGAGTGGGATGTTAGTAACACATAAACTATTATAATAATATGCTTAATTTAGGTTTGTTATAGGTAATGAGTTATTAAGGAATTCCTGGTAGAAAATAGGAAGTTAGATTCATTCTAAATGACATTTCATGTGTGTGTGCAATTTACATCATGCATAAAGTATAAGAACTTTTGATGACATGTGCCTAGGGGCTGTAGAGATGTAAGAAGAATGAACAGGAGGGGAGAGCTAACTTTGCTGATTTTTGCCCCCAACCCTGCACTTCAGGTCCATTGGTTTCTTGGGTTTATGGATTTAGGGACTTTTTTTGCAGTGATATTCTGATTTTTATCTTCATCAACATGTGAATTTTGATAGCCACTGACTTCATTTTCAAGCAGAAACATGATGCAAGGTGATTTCTCAAGGCATTTTCCTGATCTGTGATTCTTTCTATGGACAGGTCTGTTCAAGGATTTTGGGATCACTCTCTTAGACAAATGGACCAAGGTGTAAATAAAGTTAACACTCTGGGATTGACTGACACCTTATATTGTTAGCAACATCTTTCCTTCTTAATAGTCAACAAATTTTGATGATAGGAAATCTGTTTAAGAAATACTAAGTCTTTAACTCTGGAGTGAATTAACTTACCATATAAAGTTGTCATGATGATCAAATGAGTTAATCATGTAAAATGCTTAGAATAGCATTGCTGCTGTTATAAAAACACAAGTGTATAGAAATTAACACTCACTTTTTAATCACTAAGTACAGAGTACTCCCATTGAATGATCTCCAAGGCCTTCTGGAACATTCCTCACCATTCTTTATTTGCATGGATCTAAGTCTTGCACACTTTGGTCTTTTTATTAGCCCACAAAGGGAATAATTAACCAAACTCAGGAGGATAATATATAAAACTAGAATTCTAACATTCTAGTTCTCAATTTATATACAAAGTTCATGTGGTCAGTTAAGTTCTTATGGTAGATAGATTTAGTGATCAAAACATTCTTCATCAATATGTAAAGTCAAATCATAATTAGACAGTTGTTCACTGCACACAGAATCAGAAATGAAAATGGAAGAAATGTCTAATGGCATAAAAGCCAAAAGCCTGAAGCACTGTGAATCAAGAGGAATAGCTGTTAATAAGTCTGTGTGGCTAGTATGTGCAGGCACTAACATACAAAGCAAGAGAGACTCAATATGTGCTTTCACACAGCTTACAATCTATTACAGGAGACAATTAAATGATGATAATATAGCATGATAGTTACTATAATGAGGAAGTACAAACTACTTACTGTAAGAAAACATGAAGAGAAATACAAAAATATTTGATGGCGATTTGATTGTGGAAAGGTAATCCCAAAGAAGTGATATCTGTTCAGAAGGTGAGTAAAAGCTGAAGGAGGTGGTAGTAGGTAGGGGTGGAAAAGATAAGAACAGACTGAAATTTCTTGGTTAAAGGTTTCTGTCCCTCAGAGTGGAACTAGTAGGAATCAGAGTTCACCCATGAGGCTCTTTTTCAAGTTTAAGATTAACCTCTCCCATCCCCTTTATGATCAATTCATTTTTCTCATGAATTAGAAATAGTTTTCCTCTATTTTCAACATTAGGGCAACATTTTTTTTCACCTAACTTTATGTTTGGATCCTTATTTGTTCCTTCTAATCTACTGTGCTCATTTCTAAATACTTGGGGAACCCCCTCAGTACAGGACCCCAACATTTGCATGAGTGTGAGTGCATACCCAACACCAGAACATGCGCCCAGACATACCTAGTAACACACAGATCCACACGCCCATACACACACATATGCACAGAAATTGTCCCAGACACAAATGACACTGTATTTTTACCCGACCAGATGAATCAAGTGTAACACTGTGAGGTATGTTGAACTTAGCAGGCCCTGTCCCATTTTGTCCATGCAGCCAAAGGATCATGAAATCTATAAATAGTAAATTTATGTGGTCAGTGCAATATATAGAATGTCTTAAGTTTTGTGTATTACATTTTGTGATACAAATTGCAAAAAACTAATTATGCCCCATTCACTTAACTATGCTTTCCTGGCTTTCTATCTATTCATCAATTTGCCTAATTTTTACAATGCTTCAAGCAATTAATCTACTTCTTTAATTAGTATCTCCATTTGAATTTTTTAATGATTTCAAAATCACCATTAAGGGTTCACATCATTCTCTCTCAAATAGGTTCCTTTTCCAACTTTTATTTCATATTTTCATTTCACTGAGCTTAAAAATTAACATTATGTTTTTATAGTTTGTCTCCTTTACTATCAATTAATTGTGGGCCTAATCTCTTTTACTTGTGAATGTAATCGTTTTTGGAATTAGGGATGCTGCAGATGCAATTAAGTTGAAGTGAGATTATTCTGAATTTAGAGAAGGACTATATCAGGATATACTTCTAGTGAGCTCTATCATTTGGAGATTATATAGTCATTTTATCATTTAGTAGTAAATTTGGTAATAGTTAAAGGAAAATAAGTTGTGGTAAATCTAAAAAATCCGATGAAAAAACCAACCAACCAAATTTAAGAGACAGATTGAATATGGGTATATTAGTTTCCCGTGGCTCCCTTTAAAAATGGCTACAAACAGGTGGCCAACAGAAATGTATTCTCACAGTTTGCAAGAGAAAGGAAGGGGAGATTTGATTGAGACACAAAGCTCCTTTGCTGCTGAGAACTACCACCTGTGGATTTGCAAAATAAAGCCTCCCAGAACTTTTTGCCCATTCCTCTATTTGCCTCCCACAGAAACCAGTTTAGTTGATGGACTACTTCTTTAGGAAATCTTGTCCTATTCACCAATTTAGTATCTCCATCTCCTAATTTTTACTCTATATTAAACAGACTGTGGGATTCCAGGCTCCTAACTCTTCATTCTTAATTAAATATGATATCCACTTAGCCCTCTATTTTGTTTTTGTGGGATACCAGGGATTGAACCCAGGGGTGCTTAACCACTGAGCCACATCCATAGCCTGTTTTTTTTTAATTTTCTTTTTGAGATAGGGTCTCACTAAATTGCTTCAGTTGCTTTTGAAGGAAACTCCTATCCTTGATGAAGAACAAGTAGACCTATAGTAGAATCATTTATTGTTGATAATGCCACCCCTAGTTTTCTAGTTTTCTCCCAGAAATACATTTTAGCCCTTTATAAGCAGCTTTATACCCATCATTATTACATTATACAAAATAGCAAACAAATCCAATTTAAAAATGAGATTATTTTAATACCAGAGAAACAAGGCCATGTACCTTGGGACAGTTTGATCAATCTGTTATTCAATCCACCATCTCCATCCACAATGTAAATATCTCCTGTGTCATCTACATAGAGTTCTGCAGGGTTATCAAATTGCAGAGGATTCAAACCAGTGCCTTTTTTCCCGGGCGTACCCAAGACTTGAACAAGATCACCAAAGGTATTGTATTTTTTAACAGTATGGCCATACGATCCTGTAAAGATACACATGAATGTCTCACAAATAAAATTACTGTACAACATTCAGTTTTCAAATAAACTAGGGGCAAAACCCTGATAGAATTAAACAGTAATTCAAGGTTGAATGGCTGAAATAGTTAAATGTTATAATTGATAAGCAATAGTGCTTCTTTATAAATTACAAATTTGTTCATGAATTAAAATCTTAGTTACTCCAACGTAAGTGAATTCTAAAGTCAAAAAAATAAAAAACACTGGCTCACTGCAAAGAATGCTCATAATGTTAACAAACTATGTGTACCATTTTCTTTTATCTTAGGAACCTAAAAAAGATGGAATATAAAAGCAAATCAGAAGGAACTTAAAATGAACAACTTACATGGGAAACTGTTATTTCAATCATATATGTACAGATTTTAAACTTCAGTAGGCAAGAAAAAAGTTCTCTGTAACACAGATCTTTTTTTTTTAAATGTTTTATTGTTGTTGATAGACCTGTATCTTATTTATTTATATGTGGTGATGAGAATCGAACCCAGTGCCTCACACATGCCAGGCAAGTGTGCTACTGCTGAGCCCCAGTCCCAGACCCTATAACACAGATTTCTTAAATTACATATTTTCCTTGTACAAATTAAAAATTGAATCCACTGATTTTTTTCCATGGAAAAAAAGAATCTTTCCAAATCATTGGCACCTTATTTTCTCACATACATTGAAATTTATTTGAGTTAACATGATCTTATAAGCAAAAGAAAAAAGCAGAACATTAATTAATAAAGTTAAATCATAAAGCAGTTACCAGAAATCAACTTGAAGGCATATAAGATGGAACTAATGGATAGGTAATCAACAAACTAATTGGCTACCCTAAGCTTACCAGAAATAAAGCATATCAGCTTGCATTCCATTTTAAAAAGTGTACTTAGTATAACGCATGTTTTGGATCCTTGAGCCAAAGTTTGCAGCAATAAGAGAACACAGTATTATTAGAGAAAGCAAACCTCAAAATTTCTCAAGAAATGACAAAAAGGATAGAATACTAGTAATTTTTTTTTAAATGGTTGATTTGCAGTCACATTTTCATTAGAGGAAATCTTCTCCTTTGAAAAAGGAGAAATAAAAAAAAAAACCTGCTTTCCAGATCCATGGGTAGCAAAATAAATTATGGAAATATAAGCTCATCTGCTCTTTTTATTTCTGGGAACAAGTGAAGTCATGTTTAAAAAAAAAAAAAAGAATGACATAAATAGGGGGAAAAAAAGTAAAAAAACAAAAAACAACCTAATATCTAAACTAGCTAGCATGGGAAAACAGGATGTCCCTTAAGTCAAGAACATAACTGGGCCCAGGAACACTAGAAATATTCTATTTATGATCCCATGCCTTCCTGAATTCTTCAGGTAATGACAGGCTATTTCTGGTGTGGTTTTAGCCACCAGTCCAAGTGAACTGCTTTCTCTGAAAAGTTTCTTCATAGCTGCAAATTAAATTATGCTTACTTCTTTTTTCTGCACTGTCTACTGAAAATATTTGAGACAGAAGATTTCAGACATGCTTCAGTCAGCAGAAATTCAAAACCATTACCACCAGTTTCTATAAATCTCTGTACTCTGGGCAACAAAGTAATTAAGACTTCTTAGCACAACCTCTTTTGAAAGAGAACTGGTGCAAGAAAATAAGAGCTAAGGACTCCAGTCATTCCATTTAAAGGATCACTGTCTTATTGGGCTTCATAAAAAGGTATAGTCTTACTTAACTTGAGAAGAACCACCAATGATTTAAAGAGGAAAGGACCTTGACAAGTTTAAAAGATCATAATGATTACAGCCTCCTTGCTTAATTTCTTGATTCTGAAGGAGTACAATATAAAGATTTTTAGGAACCAGTGATTTCAATGAATTATAAAAGAAATTTCGATTAGATTTGGCAACTCTGATTTTAAAATGTACAAGCAAGAACATGGGCAAAGATGTGATTTCCCACAAGGTAATTTAATAGATATTACTACACATACCACTTCCTACATCTGTGATCCAGACGGATTGTTCATGTAGTGTACTGGCTGCAAACATACCATGAGGTGTGTCAACTGTATAATTCCAGGCTCGTAGGAAATATCCATCCTCTGTGAACACTAATACCTTTGGGATGTTATCCCCTCTCTGAAGGTATACAAAAATAACTGCTTAGATGGCATCGGTTTAAGGAATGGTAATCTTTATTTTGTCGGAGAGAAACAAAAATGAAGTTAATTGAGAAATTTAGTAATGTTTAAAAAAACAATTTCAAAACCACCAATATTAATATCTATCACATTTAAAACCAAAATATTTTCTTAAGCCAACTTTAAAAAGTTGCATAGCTCGAATAATATGCGTGTACATGTATACTTAGTGCAGTGAAACAGGAAGTCTGCTGTTTCCTCTGTCAAAAAAAAAAAAAAATCCTCACTTTACTTACTTGGGCTACATAAACCAATCCGTTGAGTGAGTCAACTGTAACACAAAATGTTGTTCCTGTAAAGTAGTCTGAATACTTAGGCCAATCCAAATCCAGCCGGTAAGCAACTTTCTCTGATCTCCAGGAAATTTGAAAAGCAAAGTTCCTTAAAACCTTAAGTAAAATTAGAAGATAAAGATTCAGTGTGCCCTCCAGGTGTTTTTTATTTTTTTTTTTTAAGATTCCAAAGAAATGAGGTTATACATCTAAAGACCAAAACGAACATAATAAAACTCTTAATTATTCTAGAGCTGGGGAGGAGGCGAAAATAGCATCCACACACCTTTTTAACATCAAGAGGCGACTGGTTCAGCCTCAAGTGCAGGTTTGGGGGACAAGCTGGTGCAGGAGCCAGGGCCCACCATCTCACCCCAACCGTGCCATTCACAACACTGAGAGTCGTTTCCTCACTACTCAACTCACCGGGGAGCCACAAAAACGCGAATGCAAAACCAGACTTGCAAGAAAAAAGCCGGCACCGGCCACGCAGACCCAAAATCTCGCCATGACCAGAGTTAGGGGAGGGAAGGGTCCACAGGTGAGGGGTGCCGGACAACCCCCCAAGCCTGAGAGGCTGGTAGCTGCAGAGCGTCAGTCTGGATGTCCCGGCTGAAGACCCTTATATCCTATCCCCTTCCCAGAGGTACAAGGAAACAGAAGGTAAAAGAAACTCAAGTCCAGGAAGACCAGTTCCGGGCTTGTAGCGACTTTCCAGGTTCCCGCCCCCATGTCAGGTGCCCAGAGGGCCGAACCAGTGACCACCCTTCCCCGCCCTCCGGAAGGTCTCTGCATCCGACTTCTCCCAGCCACCCACATCGCGGCTCCCTTAGATATGCCTTATCCTCTTGTCGTTGATTGCTTTTAATTCAGGTTTAACGATCAAAGCTTCACACCAAACACCTGAGTGATAAGGGCGGAGTCTCACTCAAAAAATGATTCTTAGGCTCTGAGGAAGATTTAAGCTACACCTGATTCCAAAATATCCAGGCATCCGCTGTGGCTGCCTACATTCCCACATCAGGACCCTTCACTGGCTTCCAGAAAAGTGCGGCCCTTGCTGGCGGCGCAGAGTTGAGTTTCTTCGGGCGCGACGGGCTGTATTGAAGGTCCCTAGGAGCCGGTGGGGGCTATAAGGGTAATCTGGCAGGGCGCCTGGCGCTGTAGGTATTGCGGTCTTCGCGAGCCCCCTTGTGCGAGGCCGTGTCCCCCTTTCCCCGGCTTCTGGTGCTCTCAGGTCGCGGCCCGCTCCCGGAAGCCACAGAAACTGGTAACAAAGAGCCTGCTGGGCCGCCCGCTGCCCGGGCTGGGGGACCCAGAAGTCTGGAGGAGTGGCTGGGGATGACCGCGAGCCGGGCCATGAGTCCAAGATCACTGCGGTGAGGGGCGCGGCCGGCGGCCGAGGCGCTGGTGCAGGCCGTGACGCCGGCGCTCCACTCCTCGCCGCCTGCGGCGCTCCGGAGCTGGTGCCTCTGCTCTCCTGGCCGCTCCACTGGGGAAAGTGGCTTCCCGGCCTCTCCCGGGCAGCTCCTGGCCCTCAGCTGCAAAGGAACGGCGCTCAGCCCCGGCCTGAGTTCCCCCGGGTTTCTCTGCAGGACACACAGGACCTGGCTCTTCCCCGAGGTGCCCCGAAGCTTTGTGTGAAGCATCTGGAGAAGCCGACAGGAGGGATTTTTGTTTTTAATAAAGTTTTTTTTTTTAAAGTCTCCGTTTTTAGAATTTTTTCGCGGAGTTTGCATTACACTCTACCTCTTCGCCTTCTTTCACCTGCTCCTGGAGTGGTTTATTCCTCAGCTGTAAACATTTTTACCATCAGTGAAGCAAACCAGAGATGAACGTTTTGTGATTGAAAGTGTAACCATTAAAAACCACGTCGAAATAGTATAGTCAAGATGGACAAAAAGTCCTTCGAGACGGTGCTGGATGAAATCAGAAAGGTAATTGCACTTGATGCCTTAAATTAATTTGCGAAATAGGAATCATCGTGGTTTAGTTTCTTGGAGGTACTGTGTGTAGGTTGCACAAAATAAGAGTCAGAGCATTGCCAAATTGGTTTGAATTTTCACGTGTATTGCAGGAGCTTGTGCCTTGATAGGTTTCACCGTACGGATAGCAATGATGTTATCCCAGTTTGAGAATCAGCGCGGCATTGTGGAATTTGTATTACTCCTCAGTTGTGAAGCCAGCTGTGCAAATCCTTAACAGCTGTGTATTTTCGAATAAGTAATTTAATATTTCTGCGGCTTCTTTTTTCCTTTCTGTAACACGAAAGTGTCTGAAAACCAGAAGTACCACGTGGAAAGTTTCTATTACGGCAATTATGTTTTTTTTTCCCCCCAAATCTAAAGATAGGCAGAATATATTTATTGCCTCGGCCAGAACAAAGTTAGTGTTCTGATGATTAAATGTGGTTAAGTTTACTCTGTTGATGAGTTGACCATCGATAACTTTTTTCAGTTTTTTTTTCTTATTTTCGTGATTCTTTTGAGATATAGTTGGGTATCCTGCCTCTAGGAGTGAACACAGCAAAAAATTTTGGAATGTAGTTTTGAGCCTAGCATTATCTGAAGCTCAAAAATTAGTTACCCATTTAGAATTTAAAGGACTTCTAGTACCATTATTCTGGTAACTGAGTGCCTTGCTTCGGCCCATTAACTGACACCAAAGGAATTGTTACCACGTGCTTCCATGCTTATTATTTATATCAGCTTATGAGTTTTTTACTAAAATTGTTTCTGGAGCTGCTGTTTCATATTGTTTTTTATAAAATCTTTTTTTTATTGACATGTTTCATTTTTTGTATTTGATACTTTTGAAAGCTCTTTTGAAAACAAATTTCTACTTTTGTAAATCTAGTTTGTCCACAAGTTTGGAAACAAATACTTGAAACAAATACCAATTTGCTAACTGTAAAATTAGAGTTTGTCACAATTTGTTCATGAGCTAATTTGTAAATACTGTTTATGAGAAAATAGTTCTAGACCAGCAGATTTCTATTTTTGGATGATACAGGATGTCAGTGTATAATTGTTTTGTAGTAAGAGCAAAAGGATTAGTTATTTTTAATGATTAGAGCCACAAAGCTGTGATAACCTGGTGTTTCCATCTTTAAGCTCTGAAAATACCTAAAAGGGAGATATTTGATTTCATTGAGCTCTAGATAGTGGAGGTCAAGGCCACCAACATCTCTTTCACCTACTGATAGATTTCTATGCAGAAAAGGAACCATTAACTAAATGTAACTTTTTGAAATAGGTGGTGAATTCTGTTCCCTTTTGTGAATGAGGAAGCCCTAAAGGAATTAAAATGCCTAGCAAAGACCTTGAATTCCCGGACCTTGGGGCTTTTTGTTTTCTCATTTCCCAAGCCTCAGCTAGACCTTGTCCTCTTGTTTACCTATAACTTAGCACATAATGGGTACTTGACAAATAATAGATAAATTATACATTTACTCTTAAACAATGAAAATTTGTTTGGTTTTCAGATATTAATTACATATTAAGGAATTATCTGTGTAATTTCTACTAATGTGGAATCTGCCTATTACAATTTTATTCCCTTTCTTTGTAAAAGTGAGTAGGGAGGCCCTACAATGTGGGACCTGAAAAGGTAGACTGTTCTGTCACCACATGACCTTAGCTGCTGCTGTGTGCCAGGGCTAAAGAAGCCCTGCCACCATTGAGCTGCTTGGGCAGTTTTGATATATGCATATTACTGTGCTGCTTACATATATTAATGATGTTTTTCTATTTTTTAGGCTGTTTTGACAGAATATAAATTAAAAGCAATTGAATATGTGCATGGATACTTCTCTAGTGAACAGGTACTTTTAATTATTTGTTTAAATGAGCTTTTTTACACCATTGTTCTGGTTAATACCAACTTACCAGCTGTTCAAATTTAGAATTGCTTGTACTTTGTTCTTATATTTATTCAGGAACTTTAGAAGCTTGTGGTTTTGACAGAGCCTGAAAGTAGTTAAAAGTGTGAATTAGTCTGGACACAGTAATCAAAAGTTATAAACTTAATGATAAACTTACCATATAATGTCAGTAATTGCAAAATTCAAAAGAAAACATGAATAAGTGATGAAATGTGTTTTTATGTGAAGCCACTAAATAAAAATCTTAGCAATAAGGAAATATAAACACTGTGTCTAATAAGTAGTTTCTGTCATAGCCAGAAGACTAGTGTTTTAAGCATAATAGTTTAATGAAAACTTTAACCCCACATTAGGAGTTTGATTTCTTTTTTTCTTTTTTCAAGATGGTATCTGCTGTATTCCCCAGGCTGGGCCCTAGCCCATCATCCCCCTGCCTCCCCCAACCCCAGGTCCCCAGTAGCTAGGATTAGAAGAAGTGCAGCCACTGTGCTGGGCAACTTTGATCGTATTTAAGAAAAAAAAATTGTGTATGTATATAAACACACAGAAGAAGGATTTCTGAAGGGCACTAGGAATATTCTTGACAGCAAAATCGAGCAGACATAGAAAGGTACATTTAGAAAGAAGTTGGGAAAGGGTGAATCATGGATGAATCTGCAGACTCAGAGATAGTACCAACTTTTTATTTCTCCAGAGTTTGAATACATGTCAGCTTGAATAACTATACGCCTGAAGTTCTTCTTAGGATTTGCATCTGTTAGTGCCTTTTTAGGGATAGTTTTTCAGCTTTCCCTTTGCTTCACAAGTTGCCTTATGCTCTTTTTTTAAATCTAAATGTTTTGAAAGATTTATGATTTCTTACAGCTAACAGCTTTTTTTTTCCACATACATGCATGTGACATTTTGTAGAAAACATCTTCCTTTAGTGATGCCTTTGCTGACATCCTTTAAAACTTTATTAAACACTGAGACATTCTGAGTCTACCTTATTGAAGATGGATAGTTAAGTTTTATGGTTTGTAAAGTACAACCTTCACTGTATAGTAAGAACACTGTTCCCACAAAATAAGGACATAAACTCTTCCCAAAGTAACTGGAGAGTATGCCTAATGTTATTTATGCATCTCTCTATAAGTAATAAAAAGTATTTTCGGGGGCTGAGGTTGTGGCTCAGTGGTAGAGTGCTCACCTAGCATGCACAAGGCACTGGGTTCGATCCTCAGCACCACATAAATGT